AATTGATTTATTATTAGAAAATAGTACAAAGATAACAATAGAATATGACACATTTACGAACCTGATAATTATTTCATATCTTGTTCCTAATAATATTAAAGAGCCTAACTTTCTTCTTTTGTCGCTTCTAAAAGCCTATCATATTTGTGTCAATATCTTCTTTGACCATAGCGGTAGGGGTCCATTGTATACTCTAGAGCACCGTTTAAATCTGTATTTGTATACTATAATAGAGTGAAAGAGAATTGATAAATACATGTCACTTAATAGAATTCTACCCACATTTTTTGTCTCTAGATATAATTTAGAAAACATATTTAATACCTAGAAATCATACAACCATATACAACGAGTGGATCCAGGTTGATACAAACATTTACATGCTATTCTACCGAGCCAATGTCGAAGCAAGTTTATCACCAAATAAAATCATACACACCTTAATTTTTCATTACGATTGGTTGTTTGTTCTTTTATCTATTACTGTTACTAAGGACTACTCTGAAATTACCATATGATATTAGCTTCTTCCTGTTCCTACAATGCATGTACATTTATTTTCCTTTTCTTTTGTACACTGGACATAGGTTCCCTACTAATTGTTTGATCCTACCGCTGCCCTACTGAACTACAACATGATGGGTCTCCAATGACAATTGGCGATCATCCATCCATGGACATGCCTAAACGTTCTATTGGCACAGGTCACCACCACCGTTGTTGTACTCGTGAAACACAACCTAACAACAAGTATTGGGTTTGTTACCTCAAGTTTGTCTTGTACCATGCTTTATTCAAGATCCTTGATTGTCTCTCTTCTTGATCAAGTGACTGCTCGTCTCTTACACCACAAGGTGATCAATTTTGGCAAGCGAGATCCGTGCACCGGTACCGTCTTGTAACCGCCTCGCCCTTTGCCATTATTGTTGAGCTCTCCATGTAAGCATTATAGAGCATTTGCCTAGTCTTGTGGCCACTCTGGTCTTATATGAGCTTTGATCGTTGTTGCATTCATCTTCACCTTGTACCATACTTTGTCATACTTGATTAAGTCATATGTATCTTGATTAATCTAATCTTCTGTAGAAACACTGACATATGATCTACATCATGCATAAGGTTATTGAAAGGACTGAGATGTAATCTATAGGGGGTGAATGATGAATAGTCATTTCCCACAAAATTCACAACTCAAAATCCAGTGGATTAGTCAAACTCTAGAAGTTTAAAAAAATTGTCAGGAGCTTCTACACATCCGAAAGTAGGTCCAGAAGTTTCACATAGATAGAAAAACTTGAAATGAAACTACACATAGAGAGTATTAACTCAAACCAAACTTGGAGATATGTATTTGAAGTTGTCCGCTAGCAAGTCCATAGAGCACCTACACTCACAAACACACACAACCAAGTAGATCGAGATGAAACCACAAATCAAGCATGTACTCAAGATACTCAAACCAAAGTGAAGTTCAACTCCATCCAATCAGGACCTACGTCTCTGTTGAGGAAGCTCCAAGCAACCCAAGGTCAAGCTTTAGCTAGATCTCTTTCAACTGCTTTCCTCGATCCACTATCTTAATCTCTTCCTTTGCGGGAGATCGGGGCCTTCTCACAAACTTCATGTGGCTCACCACACACATAGGACCTCATTGGGCGATGCTTAGCCATCTAGAAGGCTTCACCTCTAAGAGTAACAAATGCTTCATGAATGGTTGATAAATCCCACACGTGCTCAAGGATTTGGTTGATCGCTCTTGCTCTCAATCACTAAATCTCTCAATCAACTCACTAGGTGAAAGCCTCATGTTTGGTTTTGGTAATTGAGACAACTAGTGGACTAACCTTTTGCTAAGTGTTGATTAAGTTAGGTTAAGTCCACACCAAGATGGTGGCAAGGCTAGGAGTTGGATAGGGGTGATCAATCCAAATGAAGCAATCCCTTGAGGAGCATTTGGATACTCATGAGGTTTTGATTGAGGCTCATGAGGAATTGAAAGAAGCTCACTCATCTCTCCATGCTCAAAGGAAGGTGCATATTGAAATAGAAAGCATAGGAGTAACTTATGATATAATTGATAAATCATTCTATACTCTTATTGTTGTTGCTCCTAACACATCTTGTAGCACTAGCCAAGATACCCCTTTGGGTGATGGATTCACATAAGATTCATCCCTCATTGTGGAAAATGAGACACTTAAGAACGGTAGATGAGCTCACTCACGCACTAGGCAAGGCCTATGATGGTGAGGCCCGCTTGCTAACATGTTCGGGTAGTCAAAGGTTCTCCCTTAAGGCCTTCTAGAGTGTGGAAGTGATGCCCACAAAAATCTGGGCGCCACCTGCAAAAAAACTGGCATCAGTCAAGGATGCTGCAATGTGCATTTTGATTCCTAAAGCCTGATTTTTTGAGAAAGAGTCAGTGGTGTAGAGGCTCATCTACGGTCTCTCTCTCTCATGTGCAGGGCTCAATAGCAAACAAAATACTTGTTTAATGAATGGGTACTGGTGCTTCAACATTCATCGCTCTAGAATCTTTCATTTCGAGCATCGGTGTTGGCACCGGTTCACAGTGTACGTAGTAGTGCCTCAAGTGGAAAGAGAAAATTTTAGCATCACTCCAGGAACACACTGCGGAAGGCCTAATAAGGAGGATCTTGGCTATACTCTCAAGAAAGGCAAGGCAACCCTTGTTACTCACAAGACGTAATTTTTAAGGAGCAATGGTTGTTTTTTCAACAAGTACAAGTAAGTTAGGCACTTAGAGCAACATTGCAACAACAAGAGTTTGTTGGCATAGAGTACGTGTGAGAATGGTTGCCTTGTCCTTTAGGGATAAGATACCCTTTCACCAAACCATTTCACCATGTTATATTCAATCATCAGCAATGCAAAACATAAGTTCCTCCATTCTATTTTATTCCATTTTCTTTCATATACTCTAATAAAGTACATGTTTTTCCATCCACCAGATTATGATGCACTACACATGGCAATGAAAGTTATCTGTTGGCTACGTTATTGTTCGTGGAGTAATATGTAATTAATATGAACTATATTATAACAATTTCTATGTGACAAAATATCGCAACAATAAGCCTGTCGTATTTTTTTATTTGGACTCTTGTGTTCTTATCTCTATGTTTAAAGTTCAATTGTGTTTGTTCTCCATTTGTTTAACTTTATGATTTTGCACGGCTTTTTCAATAAAGGTAGAGTTTTCCCCTATCCCCGTTAGAGGAGTTAATGGTATCAATTGAACTAATAAAGAATAGTTGTCGCATGTGAATTTTCCCCAAGGTTTTTGAGTACCATGTCTCTGTGATTTTAACCTCTATTGCGACATCAAATATTTAGACAACATTTTGAAAGAATCTTTACAGGAAAATTTGCAAATGTTTCAAATCTATAAGCAAAGGTTGACAAGTTACACGCTTAATCAACCATCGGTGGAAGCTGAGATGGTTAGCACAAGGTCAGGGGTTTGTATCATAATTTATTTTTTTAATTTTTTTTCTTTAGTTCATTTATTCAGCCTTTGGTGACAGTGTTTGGAATAGGGTGAATGGTAGATTGGGATAAAAAAAAGAGAGGATAAAATCATAAAATTGAAAAAAATGAGGATGATATTACAATTGACCTTCAAAGCTGGGCCACGAACACCGATCTTCCTTTTAATTTTATTTATAGAGTAAATTGCACGTCGGTCCTTAAAGTATTGGACGGGTTTTGTATAGGTCCTCAAACTATGAAATCGCACGTTTTGTTCCCTAATGTATTTAAGTGATCTCATCTAGATCCAAAATAGACACAAGAAGGATTAGAAGCTGACATGGTCGTCCACGTGGACATGATTTAAGCGTGGACATGGCGTTATTTAAGCGTGGTCCTTTTTTTTCGAAAGGATGGTAAAAGGTTTGCCGTGATTTCTATTAGACGATAAAAGAAAAAAAAGACAAATGCCCACCTAGTTTTTTGAGCGGAAACTTGGTTCAAAAAACCATACAACTCAGAAGAGTGCTCCACTCATCTTAACAACTTTGGTACAACAACTAATCAACTATCACAACTCACATTTAAGCGTGGTCCTCCACCCGGAACTTTATCAGCAACGACAACGATGCCTCCTTCTTCGACCTCGAGTTCGCCGTGCCCCGCAACGAGAGCGCCGTGTCCGACGCCGAGGAGGAGCGGGTCGAGTTCAACTTCGCCGTGGCCGCCGGCGAAGACGTCGTGGCGCCCGGGGCCGCCAAGGCGGTGGCCGTCGATGCGCCGTCCGCGGAGGTGGAGACCAAGGCCGAGGCCGCGGTGGTCCCACCGCCGGCGACGCTGCTCTGTCCGGCCACCAGGTTCCGCGTGCTGCTGCTCAAGCTGAGGAAGCCCAAGGCCCCGGTGACGGCGGACGGTGCCGGGGCCACGTAGGCGCCGAGGAAGCAGCCGGCGGCGAGCCGGTTCCGGATAAAGTTCCGGGTGGAGGACGTGCCGCTGGCGTCGCTCTTCACGCGCGACAACAGCTCGCGCACCTCGGACGCCGGCGTGGACCGTCCGGCCACCGCGGCGGCGGAGCCCTAGCAGCAGCAGGAGGAGGTGGCGCCGGCGCCGAACCAGAAGCTCATGATGGAGGACGCCATGGGGGCGGTGGGGCAATGGCGGTGACCGCGCGGCTCGGCGCCGTCGTGGCGTGCGTCGTCTTGGCGATCGATCGATGCACACTGGGTGGTGGTCGTTGAGAACAAGGGAAGTACTCTAGCTAGCTAGCACTGGCAGCGTCTCCTTCTCTTTGTCTTGTTCGCTAGATACAAACTATGCACGGACAGGGCTTATTGCTTGTTTGATACTATATACGTACACAAGATAATACGATGACTTTTATTTCGATGCGTGCATTAGTACAGAAGATACAGATAGTATATATGCATGAACGTGCGTGTGTGGACTGATGATGGTGCACGCACGAGATCAACTTTAATAACCGTCGTCCATATATATATGCTGCATGCATGCTGACAAGTGACAAGGCCATGTTCGGCGAGGGCGAGTGGTTCTTCTTCAGCCCTCGTGACCGCAAGTACCCCAACGGCGCCCGCCCCAACCGCACGGCGGGCTCCGGCTACTGGAAGGCCACCGGCACCGACAAGCCCATCCTGGCGGCCGGCGGCGCGCACTGCCTGGGCGTCAAGAAGGCGCTCGTCTTCTACCAGGGGCGAACCCCGAAGGGAAGCAAGACGGAGTGGGTCATGCACGAGTACCGCCTCCTCGACACCGACGCCGCCGCGGTGCTCGCCAGGCCCACCGCCTCCAACTCCATGAGGGTATGTACATGTGTGTAACTATGCACTGCCACTACTACCTGACTACCAGCGTCGTACGTATCACTCATTTTCATGCATATGCATGGTGCGTGCAGCTTGACGACTGGGTCCTCTGCCGCGTCCGCAAGAAGGGCGTCTCCTTGGGCCCGGCGGGCATGGACGATACTTCCGAGGGAATAACAACGACGACGACCCGCGCCGCCGTTCCGGCCAACGACACCGACTACCACCACGCCCAGCTCGAGATGGCCACAGCAACTCAGAGGGAGGTACTGCGACATCATCAGGTGCCCGACGCCGGGACCGGCGGCGGCGGCTTTGGCGACGTCGTCATCGACTGGAACAACAACGACGACGACGGAGGAGACGACCTGCTGCAGTACCTTATGGCCAGCGGCGGGCTCGGCGGGTCCCCGTCCGCCCACCATATGCATCATGAACAGGGGCACGAGCACGGCAATGGCGGTGACCGCGCGCCTCGGCGCCGTCGTGGCGTGCGTCGTCTTGGCGGCCGTGGCGGTGGCGCCGCGTCCGGTGGCGGGGATCCTTGACCCGGTCGACTTCCTGGCGCTGCAGGCCGTGCGGCGGTCGCTGGGCGACATGCCCGGCTCCGAGTTCTTCAACGGCAGGGACTTTGTAACAACCAAAAAATTCATACACTAAAATTCACAACTATAAAATTTTTGTTTAAACCTTACGTGATGTTGAGTGACACGTGTAGAAGCAAAACCCTAATTTTGGATTAGATGTAACTCAACTAGGTTAAAATCATAAGCATAGTTTGGTTTTATGCCACATGTGTAATTAAATTCCTAAATAAATAAATCATGCATGCATCCTTAATTCCACTTGTGATTTGGATTCTTTTGCCTTATGTGATGTTTAACTAACTTACTTAATAGTTATGGTAAACCCTAAATAATGAATTATTCGTTGGAAGAATAAAACACCCCTATATAAAAACTTCAACTATTTTTGTATAACAAAAATAGCCAATAATCCCTAATATATGGGATGTATTTTGACCACCATTTGAAACACCTTGTGGGACCCACTACATAACTCGAAGCTCAAGTTTAAACTCTAACTAAATTTGAATCGAAGCAAAAGAGAGAAAAGAGAAACAAACAGAAAAAGAAAAGGAAAAGGAGGGAGCCGCAGCAGCCTAGGCCTGCTCGGCCTTGCGAGCCAGCCCGGCCGAGCCCGCCTGCCCTCCCACTCGCGCACGCGGCCCACAAAGCCAGCCTAGCAACACCCTACCGCCCGCGCGCGCACAAGCCGCTGACGAGCCGGACCCGCCCGTTAGCCGTCACGCACCGCACGTCGCCGCATCAGGACAAGCTGACAAACGGGCCCCCTCTGTTAGCCGCCCAGCTACAGCGTCGTCGTCTTCCCCATGCTCCCTCCACCACGCGGGCCTGGGGTCACGCACATCGCATGACCCTGTCCCCCACCTTAGCGCCGCGCCCATGCAACCGCCCCCGCACGCGAGAGCCGCCCGATGCGCTCAGCGCATCACCAGCCGTTCCGCCATCCGCCATGGATGAGCATGGAGCTCGACCTATAAGAGGGAGGACCCAGAGCGCCCTAGGGTTCCTCAGCCCACCGCCGCCGTTCGGTGGGCCAATTGTCTGCACCACTCCGAGAGAAGAGGGCCGAGAGGACCCGGAGGAGGGAGGCGAGCAGGGAGCTCGGAGTCGTCGACCACCGGAGCTCGGAGCGCCGCCCCGAGCACCTACTCCGACGACGCGGCTTCCACCGCTACACGGCCGCACCGTCATCACCACACCGCCACTCCGCACCGCCAAGCACACCGCGGTGAGCACCTTGGCTGAGACCTCCTCCTAGCCCCATGGATGCCGAGTACGCACACGCACCAAGCACACCACGGCGACGTTGAGCCGTCCCGACTCGAGCACGCCAACGTAAGCCACACACGCGATGCCCTACATGCACGCACACGCCCTGCACCGCCACACGCCACGCGCAATGTCGAGCCGAATCGGCACGAGAACGCGTTGCAGCACGCACACGAGCATGCACACGAGCACGCACGGGCGCGCACACCGCAGCCACGAACACGGCCGTGGCGAGACCATCGCGGCCACATCACCGCGGTAGAGGTGACGCCACCACCTTGGCTGGCTCTTCCTCGCCGTGGAACACGCCACGCTCGCGATCGAGGTAGACGAAGGCCACTGGAGGGCCCCCGTTGACCACACCGCGCCGCGGCCAGAGCGCCGCCGCAACCACTTCGACTCCACCGTGGCCAGAACCGCTAGGAGCGCCTGGCGCCTCCTTGTCTCGCCCACCCTGTTCACTGGAGCCACGGGAGGCACACGCGCCCCGCCAAGCATGCTCCCAGCCACCACATCGCCCTGCCGCCGTCGACACGCCACAGCCGAACCTCCGCCGCCGTAGCCAGCCCCATGGGGAACCCTACTCATCGCTTTGACCTCACCATCATGTTTGCCATAGCGGGGCGATGCTTTTACCCACCTAAATTGAACACCAGCGCCGCGGGTGAGGCTCGCCGGTGACCTCACCGCCGGTGGGAGCCCCGTCGGGGAAGAGAAGGGGATTTTCCCCTCGCCGGCCACACGTCCATGCACTTGGTGCACGTGAATCGAACCCTGGGAAGGAGTAAGTGGACCAAGTCCTTCATAGACCGGCTCTGCGGTCTATGGACCAACGCAGGCGGGTTCACCATGAACCGCACCTCACCTGCGCCCGTGGACCACGGCCCGTTGGTGGCCCAGTAAGACGATGTGGCTGCACCACAGCATGCCACATGGCGAGCCAAAGGCCAGCCCGTATCCAGGCCCAACAGGCCCAGTTTGGACCCGGCCTGAGCTGACCGTTGACCGGGACCCACCTGTCAGCCGCGGTTTAGCTCTGATGACGCCATGCTGATGTCATGCCGATGATGTGACCACGCCAGCGTCGGGGACCTCGACGATCTCTCCGACCACCTCGGCGAGCTCTCCGACCACCTCAGTGAGCTTTCCGACCACCTCGGCGACCTCTTCGACCACCTCACCAGCTGATACACCACTCCAAGTCCCAACATGCCATGTGAACCAGTCACAGTGTGACACGTGTCAGCCCTGAATTAATCAGCCTTAATTATTTTCAGAAATGGATTTAATCTTCGGAAATTCATAACTAATTCATACGAACTCAGAAAAATACAAGACCAGGACCAAAATTCATCTATAATCGAGATCTACGCAATGAACCCATATTTGAGTGCATTTGGCTCTTTTGAATTTTCATTGCTTTTTATGCTATTCTATAGACGTCGCTAACGTGACTATAATGCGATCGTTTGCAGACTCGGAGGAGAACCAGACGGACGAGGACCGAGAGTACCGTGAGGAGTACGGAGACGACTTCACTGAAGGTGCCACATCCCACCCAACCTCGTAGCACCTATTACGCATGGCTAATATAGAACTGCTATTGCTTTACTTTATTGTTATATTCACACTATGATAGGACTTGCATGGTAGCATGCTTATTTGATGGCCTTTACCTAGATGCAACCTTACCCCTGCTTTCCCTGCTATTAGGCTAGACACACGCTTGCTGCTATATTTCATTGCTTATTACTTCTACTACGCTTGTACTATATTGATGCGTGGTGGAAACTGGTGTTATCTGGACTATGAGGAGAGTGCTGCGTGTGTGACTTGGGTGCGTGGAGGGTGAGGGTTGTGTCGACCAAGTTGGAATATACGACGAGCCTAGGGCAAGTCTTGCCGCGGGGTGCTACCTGGGCACCCCTGGAAATGGATACCTATGGTGGGTAAATGGTATATGAGGTGGCCCTGGATGTGAACCTGTGATGGGAGGTGCCCGGGGTGGAGGTGCTGCGGTGGCATGGTAAATGGAAACCCTGATGAAGACATTCTGGCTTGGTCATCCCTAAGGACTTACTAGTACTCAGATTCACCAGGAAGCCTTACGTACCACTCGCCCTATATGGTGCGGGATGGTCGGACTACTTGGTAGGATATTGCCACTACTGCTAGGTTGATAGCGGACAGTGCGAGGAGGTATGGGCGCGGAGGTTTCCCCCCCACCCTTCCGAGACTTCATGGAGACCTTGTGGACCCGACTCATGACTCATAGTTTTAGCCACCCCAGACTAGATTTGGGGTGTACCAGGGCTGAATGGTAGGGTGGCATTATCCTAGGCTAGCAAGCGGCCAGAATCAGCCCAGTTGACGACGGTCAACGAGGAAGGCGGATCTTGTGGTTATGTAAAACCTCTGCAGAGTGTATGGTTGATCGATCGATACATATGCCGACTTGTCGGCTATGGACCTTTTCTAGGTTTCGCTTAAACTAGATAGTGAGATGAGTCCTTCTCTTCTTCCCCCGTGAGAGAGTGTCGGTCGTAGCCAGGGGATACGGGCCATGAGACAGTGCCGAGAGGGAGTTGGCCTGTCGACCGAGCGATGGTATGGTGGTGATGAGGTGATGATGTGGAGATGGTGGTATATCGATCCCAGGATCGAAACCTGGCTCTGGACGGAAATGGGGTGGAATGGGTGTGGGAATGGTGTTCAAACTTGACCAACTATTAATATATATATACTTGATATGCTAAAACATAGGAAACCCCAGCCTTATAGGTTCCTTTTGATTATATCCAACTTGCATCCAATTTCCACAAAGCAATGCTCATAGGGTGGGAGTGGCCAGTACAAATCGTACTGATAAATTTTGGCACACAGGTTCTGCTGGGGAGTATAGCTCTGAGGAGTTTGATGGTTGAGGGGTTCAATCCTATGCTCGAGTTTGACGATCTTGTCTTCAAGCTGTTCTGAATGAATGCTACTTTTGATTCCATCAATGCGGCGATGTAATAATTTATGTAATTCCACACTATTTGTACTATGATATTATTGTTGTATGGATGTGGTATTCGACTGGAATTTGGGTAATATGATCTACAACGGTCATAATACACTTCGACTCTGTGGATTTCCCTTCGCGGAAATCAGGTCATTTCAGTTGGTATCAGAGCCATACTTGACCCTAGGACAAAACCCTCAGAAATGGACGATAGAATAGGACGTGAACAGCCCTTCTTTCGGTTATATACCGACCCTGCATTTACTTTTAAGCAAGGCTTATCTATTTATTGACCTGCTAACACCTGTTTCCTTAAAACATGCTGATGGCAACGAACGTCGAATGGTCGCCTCTAGGACCGCTACCTCTGGACCACACCAAGCTTACCTTCGACCTACGTGAGCTCGGGGGTTTTGCACAGACCCTCTGCCGAGTTCTCGTCACGTTAGGAGTCCCTAACGAGCTTGTCAAGGTCACCTGCACCGGGAAGTCAGCTCAGGAAGGAGGAATCGAAGGACCGATTGTCACCATAGCCGAGTTCCCAGCTAGCACTACCTTACCTTCTGTCTCAGCTTTCACCGAGTTGACTATAGAGGACACAGTTGAGGAGGGACTGCGAGCTGTCTCACACAAGGCACTTCGCAGAGTGATGAGGGACCACTACGAGCACCTGAAGATGACAGAGTTC